AAGACATTCAGTTGCACTATTGATTTAACCAACTGCTCTGATTTCATTGAACCAAAGAAACTTGTTACATTCTTCAGACAAACCATTAAGGTTCAAGGAAGAGCTGGTAACACCAAAGGAATTGAAGTTAAAGTTGCTGATAAGAAAGTTACTATTACTACTTCCTCTGCTAAACTTTGCAAGAGATATATGAAATATCTTATGAAGAAATACCTTAAGAAGAATAATCTTAGAGAATGGTTGAGAGTTATTTCTGATAAGAAAGACGGATTTGAACTCAAATTCTTCAATGTCCAAAACGATGAAGAAGAAGTTGCTGAAGAAACTAACGCTCAATAAGTAATAAATTTAAGTGGTAGTGTTTTATGTCTGGTTGCACAGTTTTCATTTAATGAAAGCTTTGGTGCAGGGACGAAAAAAGTGTGTTTTTTACATTATTTTTTCCCTGCATTTCAAAGTTAATTTATCTAAGAAATAACAGAGAAAAAATAATGAAAAAAAAAGGAATTTTGTAAATTATGTTTTTTTTGTTTTAGGGTTTAATTTAAACCTTTCTTATTTTTAATGATTTCTTATTGTTTAATAATTATATTTGTTATATTTTATAGTTAATATCTTCTCTTTTATATTTTATTTATTTCAAAATTGATGTTTTTCTTTCTTGTAAATTGTATTACTTCAATTCACTGTACTATATTTCTCTCTATTTCGTTAAATTTTTATAAATTAGAATAGAATAACTACCATTTTTTATTAAATTTACAATTTTCTAAAGATTCTTTTCATGTTTTTATTTTTATTCAACAACAATAACAAAATCATATCTTTTCTGTTAGTCTGAAAAGTTGTTGTTTAATCATGTTAAAATAATTATTATAATTACAATTATTGATAAGATTTATGTGGGTTAGGAAAAATATATAGTTTTGATCATTTGATGAAGAATTATATCTTAGAAAAATAAATTAAATTTATGTTATCAAAATAGAAATGGTTATTTTTTTATATTCATTTTAAAGCAATATTATATAACTCTTTTTCATTTATACATATATTATATTGACTAAGCCTATCTGAAGTATCAACTAAAAAATATTGGTAATTAAATAATTCAGAAATTATTGTATTATGACTGTTGAAAGTTATTAGTCTAGTGAATGTTCTATTTCTGCTCAAAAAGAGTGTTGTTGCTTTCATTAATGTTCTTTTATGTGTTAAATAAATACTATTATTTCTATTATTTACTGTTAATACTCTAAATTTACTTTTTTGTTCTTTTTTAAATACACTTTGTAAATCTTCAATAGGAATATCTCCACTATTAATTTTATCACAAAATCCATAGATTTTTTCTCCTATTTTAACAATAATTCCTTTTTCATTAACTTCTTTAATTGTTCCTTCAATTATCATCCCTGATTTAATATCAAATATACTTTGATATTTATCTGATAATATACTTTCTCTTGTTGTTATTCCACAATACCCATCAAATGCTGAATAATACATTACTCTTCCTTTATGTGTACTTCCTATTTTAAATTCTTTTGGAATATCTGAACAACTTTCATCTTTTATTTGTTTTTTTGATAAAAATACTTCTTCTTTATCTTCAGTTTCTCCAATAATTCCTACATTTTCATCTATTTTACTAAT